TTTCCTTGTTTCGAAAGTCACCGCAAAATGTATCCTATTTTACTTGTTATAATGATTATTATTTAAAAACTACTAAATATTACTAGACAAAAGTCATTTTATTTTTCGTCTCCTAAGAAAATTGTAAATGTATAATCATAATATAAATAATGTTTTATCAGAAAATTTGTATTTTATGCTAAATTTTTATTTCTGAATAGAATGGTGAACCAATGGTTTCGGTACCAGTGGAAGGTAATATGATGAGAATGAAGTAAGGCCAGTTAACTAGTAGTTCTAAAAAACTGTGGTTTCTAGAAGTGTCGCGCGGAGATCAATCTGAGTACTTTATTAAACAATGGATATTCACTATTCAGCCACGGATTAAATATATTTCATATATCTACAACTCTGAAGAATTAGACGTATTTTTTTAATTATTTCTAAAACATCAAGGCACAGAAAAAAATCTCTAACAAGTTGTAAAACTACTGTAGCGCCATCTTCTGCAAAAATATGAATTAATACTCACAACCTTCGTAAACAAAATATGTTGTGCAATTATAAAAAAAATTAGAGTATTTATACTCCAGCACACCATCAACACGTATGGTGATAACTGTATTTATGAAAAATCTGTGTAACTATAGTTAAAATTATTTTTTATTATTAAATACTATGGTCTGAAAGGTCATTTAAGTGATAAATTAATATTATCAATTACTATATCGTTTCTTTACTGAAAAGAAAATCGATACATGCGATGTTTCCATCTCATGATAAGAGATACTTTATTTTGGCCTTTGCTAAGTCTCTCTACTCCTCTGGTTGTAATTATCATTAAATCATATTTAAGTAGCTGTTGCTGTATAAGGCATAAATAAAACATGTATATATCTAATTGTATTTATTTCCATTATGAAAATACAAAAATGTTTTTAAATTTATTTTTGATAATATTACTATACTTATCAAAAATATATATAATATTGAGACCAAATGCTCGGTTATTACAATAACGCCTTCCAATTTACATTAAAGTTACATATAGTAAATAATAACTCAGCGATAAAGTTACAAAAAAAATATAAATCTAAATATTTAACAAAACTAAATTATTATAATTCACTGATTGTGTTTCTGTGCCACTAGTGACAAAGGATTCAAATTATACATCTTTTTCTTTTTAGGCTACTTTAAAATAAACACAAATTTCTCATTCAAACTATATAAGAGTAAAGACATTTTGAAAAACAATACAGATTAATTTGCGATAATAAATATTCGTAAATCGAAATAGAATTTTACAAAACAATCCTTATTTGAACCTACAAATTTTATTGTATTCGACTCGTATAATTTTTTTTTCTAATTTAGTTTTACAAGAGGTTATCGAATATAGATTATATTTTAAATTTTCTTATAAATAATACTTATATATTGTGATTACATATACAGGTCACAAGAATGAGTACAAAAAAATACTATAAAGAAAACTATTTGTGTTTACAAATCATGGTTAAAAAAAATGTTCTCTATAGTTCTTTATCTCTGCTGATCTGCTTATCAGCAGTTTTTGCCAATTACAAATACAATCTCACTAGCGGCACAGATTAAAAAGAAATTAATGTTGACAGCCTTTAATTTTAATCCCTTTGCAGGAATTACAATCTCATCGTTAAATAAAATAAAATACTCATCTAAATATCACTACAGTAAATACTTATCAAAATCGATGTTACAAATACAAATATCTATATTTTATCACATATTTTAATCATTATATATCATATCATTATGGAATGCAAATGGATAATGCCGTTGTGAACAACAATCCTAGTTTCAGAGCTATCTTATTAATTACTACTACTGTTTTTCATTCCCAGGTTGTACGGTATCTATACCATACTAAAAGATAGTGATAGAAACCACATGTAACACGGAAAAATTTGAATGTTATGCAATTTTTAATAGCATACTCACAACTGAAAATCTAATATCATAAACGGGGAATTTGGTGAGTGTAAATGGAAGTTTGTCACTCTGTCAAGCAAAAACTATTGAATGAACAATGAAACTTTACAATATCATTACTTATACATCAAAATAACACATAGGCACAAAAATTTCATGCGTGTGAATCCGCAGGCACAGTTAGTGTTATAATAATTTTGAAATTCAATTAAATTAAAATTAAAACGAAAATAATTAATGCCTTAATTACTACTTACAAATTGACAATTTTATACAAGTTTTTACGAGATTCAATTATATAATACGCAATTAATTAACTTACACAAATGACGTTTGTTGAAAATCTCAATTATCAGTATTGTATTAGAATTGTAAATAATAATTTATCAATAATCACAAATCCCTTGTACAACAACTAGTTAATTGTAACTATTAGAGTGTTTTCACTTTAATAAAATACTTGGAAGAAAAGAACAAAATACACTTCAATACTTACAATACTTTCATCACAAGTTTGACATTTCCACGAATAAAGGGCTAAGTTTTTGATCAAACTTGTTATTGTTGCTTATAGACCAAAAAATAATATTTGTTCAGCGAAAAGTGGGCATGCAAGTAATGTGTACCAGGACATTGACAGTCGACAACAACTTTGACTAAGCCATAAGGGTTATCAGTCATTAGATATTAAAAAAAAACAATATGATATCAGTTTCCAAATCTTATTCCTAATCTACTACAATCAATGTTACATTTATGAATTTTATTGTGGAATCATTAGAATTTGCCTGGGTTTGAAAAACATATACTATAGAAATATATGAGTATAAAGTACGGATACATTGTAAATAGAAGCCTTATGTAAAACTATCTAAATTGTAGTGAAATTCGTATCAAAATTCGTGGTTAAAGATAAGTATAGAAAAGACACACAGTCAAAGATTTTGTTTTATACTATTTTTTAGTTTATTTGTATCTATAAATAGTATAAAACAAAACAATATATATATGAATAAATGGGAATACACCCTTAATTCTACGTTACCATGTGGAGTATGATCCCCATTTGAGGAAATGAAACTATCATACTTATTTCCTACGATTATGAGCAAATAAAATAATTCCTTTTGCATAGCTGCTAGAGTGAAGAGATACATTTTAATCACAGGTTGATTAACAATCTTGTAATTACATTGTCCACCTTAGAATCCAGCTAAATAAAGCCCTAATCTCATTGTCCATAGACGGATTTAGCTCAGTCTAGTGCCTAATCTCTATCACAAGAGATAAATTTAAATATTTCTATCCAAATGTGTAACTATACATACGACCTACCGCGCCCTCCCTTTATTACTTTAGGGGCAGTTATTAAATGTATTATTTTTCTAAATAAACGTTAAATTCTTCATTTGTCCCGTGATGTTATGCTCCCTCTATTTTTATGTCACTGACTCTGTCTCATTTCACTATTTACCCCGTTATTCATAAAAATATTCTAACTTTATCCTTCTAACTATTTTCTTCAATAGAAGAAAGTAATAAAACGTTCTATTTTTATAAATAAAAAGGTAAACATCGAAAGTTCTTACAGAGGAATAATGTAGGTTTAAATATTATCTCTCATGATAGTAGTGTATACATATATACATACGTTTATAACTACCCAGTATATGTATATACATACTATATGTGTATACTGACCTAAGAGCTTACACTCAAAAACATGTCATCTATTAGCGAGATCTCACATTTTCGGCGGGAGTGCACAGCGGAATTTTTTTCAAAACATTTCAACATATTATGCATGTTTTTCTATGTACGGTAAAGATACGGCATAGATTTCAAGTATAACAAAATGGGTAACCTTCATGTTACTCTAAATATGGCCATATAGACTAACAACAGGAACTAAATGACAAAAAAATATTTAATTCCTGTATACAATACCATCCATTAATCAGATCAATATTAGTTGTAGTAATACAAAAGTAAATTAGTATATTTACTAATTTAATACCAGATTTTTATACTTGAGCTAATTATGTAAATTGACGTATTTCTTTCTATACGTCTTGATATATATCTTCATCAAAATAACCGTGCATTATATGTTTGTTTATCATGTAAATTAATCCAAGACCGATTTGGAGAAATTTTTGTATTTATATTGCAATGGGTTACCGGATGGTTTAAGAACACAATTGAATTTGATAGGTGATGTTGTTTTCTGGACAGGACGACGTGTATTTAGATACATAACTATTATCACTTTTTTTAATCACTTTCAAAAGATAGATATTGTATATTTCTATGTCAATATAGTTTACTAAATAAGTTCTTCATTTACAAAAACAAATAAATATTGTTTTTGTATTAATTTTTTTTATTAATTAGTTTTTGAATTAATTAGTTTTTGATTAAACCTATATTGTTTACGGAAATATATTTCTAAATTTTGCTTATTAACTTGTAAACTAAAATATGAAAAATAAATGAGTTTACGGTTTAAAGTTTTTATAAACATTGGTACAAGTATAAAAATCTGTTGCATCGTCATGTATTTGTTAGTAATTATTAATTTTAATAGATCAAAATTTATAGTTTTAACGTCTTTATCAATAAGTGGGAGAATGTATTTATTGTAAAATAAATAATCTTCTAAATAGAACTACGGATAGAATATGTCATATTTGATGAAACTGATTCCTAATAGACATTCGAATTTGTAGTTCGAGTGGTTTCGGAAGTTGCTAGGTTATTTTACTCCGTTGTTGTCTGTTTGTCTTATTTTTGCATTGGGATGTTGTATTTTGATACAGAATAGTAGGGGCATTTGTACCTTAATGTTGTTTGGGGTACTCCTTGAGACTTTTCTCCTGTATTGTGTCCTTCAGGACAATATATGGAACGATACATATTAGCTTAGTTCGGTTGATGTATATGTTTGTGTGTACAGCCCTTGATTATATAGGGACAAAAATATATTTATTATCAGTAAAAATTTTAAAAAATACCCAATAAATTAGACAAGTACCGACCCAATATATATATAAACCACTTCTCTGTTCCCCTAATAACATATACCAGAAACTACTTCACAAAATATTTTATATCCCAAAAAAAAATATTTACCTCAAACTAATATAAAAAAATGTAGAATTTCCCAAGCAAAATTAACTAAGTAACAAAAAAACGGAACTACCCTCACTCGTTACCAACAACTGTATTTAAAAAAAGCCCTCTTCTCTTTAAACAAGTCAGAAAACAACAAAACTTCTATAATTACATTTCCCCATACCATTTGAAATAACATGTCTACAAATTTTAATCTATTTAAATTAAGAATTGTTAGAAATTGAATCACATGATGTGACTTTTTAGATATTAAACATGTACCTACATAATGGATGATTACATAAGCACACAATCACAGCATTGGAGCGTATAATACAGGCATTTGATGCCGCAATCTTCTTCTTCAGGCGTGGATGCTGTAGAATGAGCTTTGTGTGGCGGAGGTGGTCTCAGATACACGCTGTCCACTTTGTCTTTGTCGCCAAGTTTATCATTCTCCCATTTGTTATCAGATTTGCTGGCGGTATCCAAATTGTTTTCAAGGTAGTCACTGTATTTTTTATCCTTTTCTGCATCACCAGCACCATCCTATTAACAAATAACAGTAATTCAAAATACATATAAAATATTTTAACATTATAACCTACACTAAACTTAAAATACAATATGACTGTAGATGCCTGTGAATAATAATAATAACCCTGAAATGGAAAATGTTCCATAGCACCTTCTAGTCCCAAGCTACGCTTGCTTGCGCTTGGGACTAGATGGTGCTTGGTTATAAGTTAAACAGTTACAAACAGCTACAATTTTTGTAAATGCATAGATAGTATACAAAGAAAAAACCCAGACTGCTAAACTGTTAGGCAACCAAGACTGTCATTTATTATTTGATTAATGATCTTTTGATGAAGAATGCCTTATTTGTCAGATTACAATTTTTAATCACTGTGTCACCAATTCCATACAGCAGCTGAGTATTTAATTTGGACAGTAATATATGGCTGAGAAATTTAAGGGTACAGAGACAATATCTTGATCCTCTGGAATGACAACACATGAGAACTTCACATCATGTAAAACTAAATATCACTCCATGATGATTTCACATACCTATCTAGGCAGTTGCCACATACCACCAGTAGTAATGGTGGTCAGTCAATTCCTTTGCCAAATTAATTAAATAAAATAATATCAATAAGTCACATACTTTGGCTTCATCACTGTCATTCTTGATCAGTTCTTGTTTCTCTTCTGGACTTGCTTCCCCGACAATAGCCGGTGGCAAGTCAACAGTGGCAGTCGCAACTTCGGCTGTGGCAATGGCTGCTACTGGGAGTTTTGATTTCTCAGACACAGACGGAACTAATAAATGGCTATCCTCCTCTTTCTTCTTGTGGACATCATATTCGTTGGAGTCTCCAGACATACTTGAAAGAGAATAAGAAATATTTAATAATAATATTAACCCAGGATATCACAGTGCTATTTAATCCCAAGGTAAGAAGAGCATATGGCTACTAGACAACTAAAAAATATGTAAATACATAAATATAGAAAACACCCAGATAAATACAAACAATTATAGTCAGAATTACAAATGTTTGTACCATGCGAGGAATCAAATGGTACTAAACCGTTGTCACACTATAGGTCGTCATAAACCATAGATATAGACAACAATGGATATAGAGTACAGCACAATGTCTATATCTAATAAACCTGCTATGCATCATAAGCATATACTACCAAAACCAATTGTATCATAAATTGTCTACAACTCTTGGTATAAAACCTGACATTATGATTAAAAGTGGCTGTGTGGAATTCCAGGATTGTGTGAAGGTTGACCTGATAGACCTGGTACATTGTTAGTAGTGGAATGAATACTGTCCAATAGTGATAGCCCCTCCCTGTAGTACTATACTATATTATATATATTTATTTCACACATTTAGGTATGTTTTAATTTTTTTAAACTTCTTAATAATAATGTCCAGAATAAAATTTATAATGATTCTATAAAATATTTGTTACAATATAATCTATATCTAATCATCTATAATTTTATACCTTTAAAATACAATCTAAGTAAGCAATACCTGATGTATATGATTTCAGACAGGTCACTTCACAAGAAATAACTATAAAAACACATTAATATCACGAAATAGGTACCCAATTTTAGTTTGTACTTAGTTTATAGTTCTACAATTATCACACGGCTTCTAAATGAAAACCCTTAAAATTTTTCTTGTCTATTCTCTCTAATCAATACTGCTCAGATGAAACACATGTGTGATTGAATAAAAAAATACTCAAAAGTTTAGGACAACACACTTATTGATTCCAATAAACGATTTAATTGAATAAACTGTATAATCAAGTACAGACGTAATTATGATGAGATTTCACCTTCACATTTACATATCACATTGCGCCCATGAACGTAATGTAAACAATCGTTCATAAATCAGCTCTCATTACACTTACACAGATATCATATTTACCTAACTATAGCAGAAGATTCTATCTCTTCTCCAGACATACGACGCCAAGTACTCATGATGGTCTGAAAGTTGCCGTCTTGCATTTCCATGGCGTAAAAAACATTAGATATCCAAGGAGTTTGTATGAGAATAAGAGAGTATACCGACGTATAAAATAAAATAAAACAGTAATATGGAAAGACTTTTTGTAATAATCACGATAGGCGTATCAGAGAATGAAATTGCAAAATCGATTCAGGTTGTTAATTCAGAAAACGCACTATATTTCGGATTGAAATTTATGTAATGTGACGGTCACCTCCATCAAGTTTCTGTCTATAGTACTATTTGCTGTTTACATTTTTTATTTTTTTATAGGGATGGCGATTTGAGATCGATTAATATAAAAATCGATTAATTAAACCGAAAAAGAATTAATTCAAATTACAAATACGAAAGCAATTTCATATTACACACTAGATAAATAATTCGATTTCTTTTTGTGTTGAGGACAATAAAATTAATTACAATATCATGTAAACAAATGACAGTTTTTAACATAGAGTTGCAAACGAAATTCAACACCAAATATGTCAAAGAAGAAACGTCATTGTCAAAGTGACAACTCATGTTTAGTCAATGATGAAAAGTCATTGTCAAATTGACATCTCAAGTTTTGTCAACGTTAATTTGAGACATATTTACCTGCAAGTCTTTAATAAAAAAACATTTAAAAAATAGCGAATATAAATACAAATAAAAAAACTTTTTTTTAAATATTTATTAAAATATACATACATAACAACCCAAGTATGGTACTACCTCATAAGTTAACAATGTAAATAATTTCTAGGCTTGTCTCCAGCTTAGTTTTTAGAATTTAACTTATTTTTTAAGAGAGTCAAAAAAACGGGCGTCTTATCCTGGGGCAATAAGCAAGGAACTAGAATTAAACTCTCATATTGGCAATTTTACAAAAAGTATTTAAGCTATAACGACAATAATGTAGGTACAGCTTCTATGCAGTACCTAAACTTTTTTGTAGCCACCATTTTGGCGATGAGTGTAATTTCACAACTGAGGGTATTCATGTACTATATGCAAAGGCTTCTTATTCCACATAAATTCTCTGCAATCCATTTTCCTTTAACCGAAATATATTTTACAATACATGCTGCTTACCTGCAGATTTATGAGAGTCAACCTCACTAAATCTACCTCAATAAAACTATACTAGGGTTTGTATACTATATATATATCGATTAATAAACTTACAATTTGTACATCGATGGTGACCGGTCCTTTCCGTACTCATAATTTGGTCGATGGTATACAACATCTTTCTTCTTGTTATGTTTTTTTGTTGGTATCCAAATAATTCCCAAACTCACTGACGGCTTACTATTTGAAGGGCCTAGTGCTGAGTAATTTTTACTAACACCACTGGATAAGTTAGACGACGAGTAGCTGGGTAATTTTGGCGAAGTGTAACTGGGCAATTTAGGCGTCGAAGAGCTACCAGGCAATTTTCCAGAGTTGGCGGTTTTTCCCAGTCCACTCTTTCCAGAGGAGATTCCACCTTTTCCAAACGAACTCTTGCCTGTGAGCCCAGTTCCACTTTTGCCGATGGAACCGGTCCCGGCCTTTTTATTTATCGGCGCCAGGATGAAATATCTGTAAAGTATAAATTATATAGATTAATAATTGATATATTCAGATTTACAAATATTATTTATACGTAGGTACTAATATTCAAATTAAATTTATAAATATGAGACCACTGTCTGTCTGTTTTGTATCTTTGTCTATTTATTAAGGACATACGATTCTCTTCTTGAATTTAAGGAATATTAAAAATTATTTCACATTAGAAAGCCAATATTGTCTATTTCACGTGAACACCATCACTAGAGGTAACTAGTACGCTAGACTTAACTATTATTTTTTTTCTGTGTTGATTATCTCCTTGGCTTCTTATATGAGATTTGTCAATAATGTTACACTGTTAATAAATTAGCTTAGACACGTCGAAAGACTTTGAGCAGATCATGCTCAATAAAATGCCCAGACAGTTGGGCTCCCTATCATTGCATCTAAATGCATTTAAGCAATATTAGTTGAATGCAATGATGGCCGGCACATCCGTTATCCTCTTGAACGGACATTGCTTGTAGGGGGCCTACTTCGGTCACCACAATCAACTGTTTTTATTTATTTAAGTTTTGCATTTCATAATTTACAGTTAGAAGATGTTTCTGATCATAGCAGATCAATTTTTGATCCTGTTGGACACAGGAAGCAGCATTCTTTTGGGGTCAGTGTAATGTTTTTCTCTTCCATTCATCCCTGTTCGCAGTCATCTAGTTATTTACTCCCTATCTTATCATATCATCTTCCAAACAGTCCATCCATCTCATTTTCGGCCTTCCTCTGCCCTTATAACCATCCACATTCATATGTATTATTTGGATTTAAATATATATATTAAATTAATAGAAAACTACATTTTATTAAGTGTCATTTATATATTCAAATACAGTATAATAGTAGTTTATAATTATGATATAATTATTTTAAACGCAAATATTGATATCACTGGTTTTATATTTAAAAATATTAAAATGTCATTTAGTGTATTATAAAAAGTCAATTTTTACACTATATGAAATTTTGGGCAAGAATAAAGATATTTGAATTTGAAATTTATCGATAAAACGCATTTCGATGAATGAATATATCTGTTGATGATCTCAGTCAATAGATTGGAAACAATTTTTTAATATTCCGGCCAAGGCTGGCCCATATTCGAAAGGTTAAATAATTCGACAATATACAGACGGAACTGGACATGTTATTTTTGAGCAGACAATTATACCTGGATATTACTACATATAGATATTTCACGCTGATACTGTTTGTTTTATAACGTAATAAAATAGAAAATCATTTATTTAAATAAACTTAATTTAAAGACTTTTGAATAGTCAACAATTTTTTAAGTCTGCCGCTTATTCTTAAAGCCGTCTTATCACAAGAAGAATAAACAAAAAACAAGATTAAACTTGTGCGTTGCTCTTTTAAACAATCCTTGTAAGTTCACATTTTACAAGTCGAAACGTGTAAAAACAAACTACCATCTAGCACTAATTTATTTAGGCTCAAATATAAAAACACAATAAGATTAAATCAGTTGTAGTGATAAGAGCAGACCAGACTCGTGAACGAGTGCTGCTTGTAGGCACAAGCAGCACTCGTTCACGAGTATGACGGATGAGCCAGCTATCACTGCGTTCGACTATTCAGCCCAATGACCGAATGAATGAACGAATAATGCTTTCCCATGCGTCAACAGGTGCTACTTATGGTCTGTTCAAGTTACTTACTATATGAATTATTTTTGTATGATTAATATAGTAAATGTTTCAAATGTAAAAATAGGTAAATAGGATAAGGTGCAATATATAAGTTCTACAAAAATGTCTTCAAGTCATAAAACACTATAAATAATAAGTAGTTTGTATGTTAAAGAAAATTGTTACGTAGGATTGTTGTTATATGTAGTGTAAATTGTAAATCGTAAGATAAAAATAGTAATAAGCCTACAAGTTTTTTTCCGGGATTGTAGAGCTATTGGATTGTCTACAGCTTAGCTATAAGATCTGTAACTAATCGACGTCACACCAGATCAATATGATATAAGAAAAAATAGTATGATGGTGATAGTAGTCACCCTAAACCTATTTTGTACATTGTCAAGAAATATATAATTTATTTCTTACAATAAATTACACATTTAAGTCACGTAAACTATTATTGTGATTACAGTGTATAAACGCATAGACTAATAGACAACCAGTCAAAATTTTTAAACTATTTTCGACTACTTTCTGACAGTAAAGATGATAATGTTATTTTTTCAATAAAATATGTAATGTAATTTTCTTCTCTTTGAAACGACGATCAGTCGTAAGACTATAAGCAGATGTACTGAGTACTGCTTAATTTGTAGGCGAAGAGGTCAGCACCTCTTCTGTTTTTCTACAATACATTCATCCCCTTTAGTATCTTAACCATATGAGAAGGATACAAGAGCTGCGCTACCAATAAATTAGGATGGTTAGAGAGTCGGTCTGTATGTAATGGAATGTAGATATGACTCTGTCTTTTTAAATGTAAATCGAAAGCCACCTATTGTCAGGTACATTTGTTAGTGAACTCTATGTACCGTAGTACATATGTATAGGCAAAGTATCGCTACCTCGTATGAAGTATGCATATTAACATAAAGCAAACAAGAGGCCATTGTAAAGTAATGAGAGCACACCGGAGATAGAAAATGAATTGATGAGAATATGTCAAGTGTGAAAGCCTCTATAGGCTCACACCATTTCTCATGGTTATGAGTGGCTTATGGACGATATTTTAATACCCTATATGTTTTTATGACTATAAACTTCTATTCATTAAGATGATAATAATAATAACTAGAGAATTACTCGAACTTTGCCCAAGTTTATGAGTTATGTACATATATCTTCTCAGGAATACTGTTAAACAGTGAAAAAGGGAGGGTGCTACTTATTGGGATTTTTTAAATAGAATTGTGCACTCACTGGCGCTAACGATTTACGCTGGTAGGGCACCGGTTGAGGATTATATGATGAGTTCAGGTTATTTAGCCCTTTACCTAAAGTTCACTACACAACGCAAACTTATTACAAATGCTTTTCAGAAGGAACCGTATGGAGGTTAACATGACATGGTATATTGTTAGCAATAGGTAATTAACAATCCCATCCCCCATTAATGGGGATTATTGGCTCCATTGTTAGAAATTTAATATGAGGTCGATCACCACGGTATCCATAATTACTGATGATAACACAATAAGCTAATGTAGCTTACTTCATGCTCATCCAATTTTCTTTCACTGGTGATAAGTCTCCATAATTACATTACTGATGATACTGCCACAATGGGCTAAATGATCTAACTTCATGCGTATCCTATCTTCTTTTACTGGTGAAAAGTATCCATAATAACAGATGATATTGCCACAATAAGCTAATTGAGCTTCATGCGCATCTTATCTTTCACTGGTGATAAGTGTCCAGAATTACATTACTGGTGATACTACCACAATGGGCTAAATGACCTAACTTCATGCTCATCCTATCTTCCAGTGGTGTAAGAAGTTAGGATGAACATGAAGTAGTATTCCTAGAGTGGAGGGGATTTTTTGTCTTTTCGTCGACTAATAACTAATTAACAATGTACCAACTACCACGCCGTTTCCCCTAGAAATCATCGATAAATTCATAGTGAATTTGTCACGATGGGCAAACTGACCCAATCATGTGAGATTGGGACTGCTATATACAAAATGATATTGTTAACTAACATGTGAAGCAACATTAATTAAAAA